AGGCCTACCCGCCTGAACTCTTCCAGGGCCCAAGGGAGGGAAGGAAGAGGAAGGAAGGGAGGGAGGAGGAGGAAGGAAGGAAGGAAGGAGAAGGAGGAGGAAGGGAGAGGGAGGGGAGGGAGGGAGGGAGGGAAGGGGGAGAGAGAAGGAAGAAGGAAGGAAGGAGGAAAGAAAGGGAAGAAGGAGGAAGGAAGAAGGAAGAAGAAAGGAAGAAGGAAGGAAGGAAGGAAGAGGAAGGAAAGGAGGAAGGAGAAAGAAGGAAAGGGGAGAGAGAGGAAGGAGAGAGAGAGAGAGAAGGAAGGAGTAAGGAAGGAGAGAAAGAAGGAAGGGGAGAGAGAGAAGGAAGGAAGGAGAGAGGGATGGAATGAGGGAAAGAAGGAAGGAGAGAATGAAGGAAGGGGAGAGAGAGAAGGAAGGAAGGAGAGAGAGAGAAGGAAGGAGGAAGGAAGGAGAGGGAAGGAAGGAGAGAGGGAAGGAAGGAAGGAGAGAGGGATGGAATGAGGGAAGGAAGGAAGGAGGGAAGGAAGAGGCCTCAGAACTGGACTCGCACAGGGCCTTCCTCATTGGTCCTAAATCCAGCACTGCGTATACCGACATCCGCATATACATGCAGGGCGTCCCCAAAACGTACACGCCAATTAAAAGCTCTGGTGATGGTGATTTTGAAGGCTAAGTCAATGCATGTACATTAAGGAATGCATGTCAGGATAATGAATTCATACAGATTCCAACTTAAGTCACACTTTTATGTAAGGAGTTCGGGTTGTCCCATGACAGCAATCCACTATCCGCATGCAAATCCCCGTGATTTCTCCTGTGACACTTCGAGGCTTCAGTCCTGTCAAATGTCAAAAATGCCCCTTGCAATTCCCCCGCCCCAAGTATAGGCTGTTAAGGATAAAACACACACACATACATATATGTGTAGTGACAGAGCGAAGCTATGTGTGTATATCTTTTAAGAGAAAGATCTCTCATTTTATGACACGAAAGGCAAAACGTTTTGACCCACCCGTGTATATCGGAATACACATCACGCATTATTTATATCGTATTTTCTCTCTGATATAGATATAGATAAATATCAGAAAGCGCGTGGTGCTGTGTATTCTGATATACTGGGTGGGTCAAAACGTTTTGCCTTTATAGAGTGTAATTGTCAATTCCAGTGGTTCTCAATCTGAGGGTCCCCAGATGTTTTGGCCTTCAACTCCCAGAAATCCTAACAGCTGGTAAACTGGCTGGGATTTCTGGGAGTTGTAGGCCAAAACACCCGGGGATCCACAGGTGGAGAAGCACTGTATGTGATATAATTGCTCCTTCTGATATAAAAATCCCATGGATGAATGTTGCTAGCAGAGGGAGGAATTACTCTTGCTCAATGTGTATAATATAGATCTCTCTCTATATATATATATCTACTAGCCGTCCCCTGCCAGGCGTTGCTGTGGCCCACATGGGGGTTCTGTGTGGGAGGTTTGGCCCAGTTCTATCGTTGGTGGGGTTCAGAATGATTTGTGATTGTAGGTGAACTATAAATCACAACAACTACAATTCCCAAATGTCAAGATTCTATTTTCCCCAAACTCCACCAGTGTTCACATTTGGGCATATTGAGTATTCGTGTAGAGTTTGGTCCAGATCCATCATTGTTTGAGTCCACAGTGCTCTCTGGATGTAGGTGAACTACAACTCCAAAACCAAAGGACACTGCCCACCAAACCCTTCCAGTATTTTCTGTTGATCATGGGAGAACTGTGTGTCAAGTTTGGTTCAATTCCATCGTTGGTGGGGTTCAGAATGCTCTTTGATTGTAGGTGAACTATAAATCCCAGCAACTACAACTCCCAAATGACAAACTCAATTTTTTTTGAGTGAAGGACATACATTGGGTTGTTAGGTGTATGCTGTCCAAATTTGTGTCAATTCGTCCAGTGGTTTTTGAGTTCTGTTAATCCCACAAACGAACATTACATTTTTATTTATATAGATATATCTATATCTATACATAGAGGGAGGGAGCATCCCAAAAATGCCTAAACCCTTAGCAAAGGAGGGGAATTCTTCTTCCGGGAGCGCCTGAGAATGTGAGGAGAGGCCGCTCCTCCGCCCCAGAATCCCACCCAATTGACCTGGAGCCCCCCAAGAAGGACACGGGAAAGAGCCGCCCCCACTCGTGTCCTTCACCCCCTAACTCGGGGGGTCCTCCTGCCTCTTCGAAGTGGGCGCCTTTTTGATGGCGAAGTCTCCTTCTCTGAAGGTCCTTAGGCAGAGGCTGGGTGGCACATATCTGCCTGAACGCTTTGGTTGATTCGTCAGAAATGTCTCCTTGGTGTCAGTGCCAGGAGAATGTGGGTGCCGATAGAACCCTAGAAGAGACCCCAAGGGCCATCCAGTAACCCCCCCCCCCCTTATGCCAGGCAGGAACTCACAACCCTTTGGTCGCCCTCCTCTGGGCATGTTCTGTGTCCGTGTCAGGGGATTGAATCCGCGTATCGAGATCACAAGCCCAGTGGTAATACAAGGATGGATTCTGGGTCTGAAATGAGAGCAGAATGAGCGGCATTTGAGGGGGGGGGGGGTGATGAAATCCCCATAAGGAAATCAAGTTAAATATACTTGTACACACTATTTAGGTGGAATACTTAATCCGAAAGGTTACAACATGACACACGATTTTTGTTCCCCGGTTATAAATATCATTTCCTAATTGGTTCTATCATTTAAAACATGGAAAAAGTTTATTAAACTGCAAAAACATTTTATTGTCGAAGGCTTTCCTAGCTGGAATCACTGGGTTGTTGTAGTTTTTTCGGGCTATACGGCCAGGTTCTAGAGGCATTCTCTCCTGACGTTTCGCCTGCATCTTTGGCAAGCATCCTCAGAGGTTGTGAGGTTAGACCCCACAACCTCTGAGGATGCTTGCCAAAGATGCAGGCGAAACGTCAGAAGAGAATGCCTCTAGAACATGGCCATATAGCCCGAAAAACCTCCAGCAACCCTGCAAAAACATTTGTTTTTGCGGGAGGTCCTGCAGCTCATTTTGCAATAGTCTATGAATGAGTCTCAACCAATTCAACCTCTCAACAAAGGATATCCCCCGGGCAGTAAGAAGCCACACCTTGAAAACTGCTAGGCCATTCAATGCTAATCAAGGTGGCCCATTGAAACATTCACATCTACCTCCAAGAGGCAAGAGTTCTTTCTCCCACCCTGGACTTTTCACAGATATATAAAACCCCATTTTCCTAGTTTCCAACAGACCTCACAACCTCTGAAGATTTTTTTTCTGTGTCAGGAGCGACTTGAGAAACTGCAAGTCGCTTCTGGTGAGAGAGAATTGGCCATTTGCAAGGACGTTGGCCAGGGGACGCCAGGATGTTTTTGATGTTTTACTATCCTTGCGGGAGGCTTTTCTCATGTCCCCGCATGGAGATCTGGAGTTGACAGAGGGAGCTCACCTGCGCTTTTCCGAATTCGAACCTCTGACCTGTTGGTCTTCAGTCCTGCCGGCAGAAGGGTTGTGAGGTTTGTTGGAAACCAGGAAATTTAGGTTTATATATCTGTGGAAGGTCCAGGGTGGGAGAAAGAACTCTTGTCTGTTGGAGCTAGGTATGAATATTTCAATTAACCACCTTTGTTAGCATTTGATGGCCTGACAGTTTTCAGGTATGGCTTGTTACTGCCTGGGGCAAGCCTTTGTTGAGAGGTGATTAGCTGTCCCTGATTGTTTCTTGTCTGGAGTTCCCTTGTGTTTGAGTGTTGTTCTTTATTTGCTGTTATCATTTTGGAGTTTTTTAAATACTGGTAGCCAGATTTTATTCATTTTCATGGTTTCTTCCTTTCTGTTAAAATTTGTCCACATGCCTGTTGATTTCGTAGTTTCCAACAGACCTCGTGACCACTGAGATGCCTGCCATAGATGCAGGCGAAACGTCAGGAGAGAATGGAATATGGCCATACAGCCCGAAAAACTTGTGGCAGCCTCAAAAACGAAGTCTCTGGAGTAGTTTGGCACCACTTGTAGTTGCCACGGGCCCGTGCTAGAGAATCACGGAAGCTATAATTTGATGAGGCACCAACCCTCCTCCGGTAAATGCGGTTCCCACAAAAGAGCAGCGAAAGAGAGGTTGCTTTTTGTATCATCAATGTTTTGCACGTTTTCGGACCTCTTCCTTTTTATACTGCTTTTACATATATACATACATATATACACATACTTAAAACACTGCATACATACATAGGCTTGGATGCATAAAGTTAAAGAACACACACTAAAGCGCCCACAAGGCTCCCGCCGGAAGTGTTCCTTTCTTCTCCGACCTGCTGCCACGCTTGGGCCACTTTCAGCCCGGGGCAGGCTCACTTCCGGCTGAAAGGACAGCGAAGGCAATGCCTGCGCCCTAGGGACACCCCTGACAAAGCCACGGGTTGCTTCTTTTCATGGGTGGGTGGGCTCGCCCGCTAGAGTTGGCTCAACCTGTGTGGTTTCAATCCTTTTTGGAAACAGTCACACGCTCAGGAACACGCGGGGTGTTGTGTGGTTTCCGGGCTGTATGGCCGCGTTCTATAGCAGCATTTTCTCCTGACGTTTCGCCTGCATCTGTGTCCAGATCCTCTGAAGATGTCAGGCGAAGCGTCGGGAGAAAATGCTGCGAGAACAGGGCCACACGGCGCGGAAACCACACAACACAACAACCCAGTGATTCCGGGCGCGAAAGCCTCTGAGGCCGGTTGATCCCGCTCTAACTTCCACGGCAATGGACTCCTGGGAGGCGCAGTTGGACGAGGCCTATAGTTGCGTGGGTGCTGGCGCCTCACAATCCGTGGGCAGTGAAAGCGGGCTCAGGCTGGCCCTCCTTCCCGAGGCATTCTTCTTTTCCGAGGAGGGAAAGGCGGCCTTGCGGGTCCATGGAGTTCTTTCTTCTCGGGGCCTTGGGGACCGACAGATGCCCTCAAGGGGTCCGGTGCTCAAGGCCTTGCCCCGTCCCCCTGCCCTCCTACCAGGCCCGGATGCTGTGCAAGGCGGAGAGTCCCCCGCTGCCTTGGCCGCCCTGCGCGGGGTTCAGGCTCAGCTCGGGCGCCACGCCGAAGTTCATGAAGTTCCCGCCTCCACCGCCTCCGCCGCCGCTTCCGGCCCCCGAGGCTTGGACGCCCGCCTGGACGGCCGGGTAGCTGCAGCTGTAGCCGGCGGCGCTGCAGGCCGAGCCCCCGTAGTTCCCGTAGGCGGCCGCGGCCGGGTAGGCGCCGTAGCCGTAGGGCCCGAGGGCGACGGCGCCGTAGGGCGAGGCGTAGGGCGAGGCGGAGGCGGCGGCGGCGTCCCCTAAGCAGGGCTTCCCGTCGCGGACCAGGACGGGGACGGCGATGCGGCGGGGCGGGGGCGGCGGGGGCGGCGGGTGGAGGCCCACCATCTCCAGGCTCTGGTCCTGCCGCTGCCGCTTGCACTTGTAGCGCCGGTTCTGGAACCAGATCTTGACCTGCGTGGAGCTGAGCTTGAGCGCCGAGGCCAGGTGGTCGCGCTCCGGCGCCGAGAGGTACTTCTGCTGCTTGAAGCGCCGCTCCAGCTCGTAGACCTGCGCCTGCGAGAACAGCACCCGCGGCTTGCGGCGCTTCCGCGGCCTCGTCCGGCACGCGTTCTCCTCCTCCTCCGCCGCCGCCGCCGCCGCCTCCCCGGGAGGAGCCCGCTTCTCCGCCTCCAGGGCCTTCTGCAGGGCGCACGACTCCGCCGCTGAAGGGAAGGAGACAAAGCACAAGGGGCAAAGGGAGGCCCCGTCAGACCCCGAGAAAAGGGAAGGGAAGCGAAGGCCCTGTCAGACCCCGAAAGAAGGGAAGGAGAAGGGGAAGGGGAAGGGGGAGGGGGAGGAAGGGGAAGGGAAGCGAAGGCCCTGTCAGACCCCGAAAGAAGGGAAGGAGAAGGAGAAGGGGAAGGGGAAGGGGAAGGGGAAGGGGAAGGGGAAGGAAGGGGAAGGGGAAGGGGAAGGGGAAGGGAAGGCCCTGTCAGACCTGGAAAGAAGGGAAGGGGAAGGGAAGGCTCTGTCAGATCCCGAAAGAAAGGAAGGGAAGGCCCTGTCAGACCCCGAAAGAAGGGGAGGGGAGGGATGGGAAGGGATGGGTAGGGAAGGGAAGGCTCTGTCAGACCCCGAAAGAAGGGAAGAGAAGGGAAGGCCCTGTCAGGCCCCGAGGGAAGGGGAAGGGAAGCCGGCCTTTGGGGGTCCCCGTCCCCCACTGATTACTGAATGCGCTTTCAAAGGGGTGTAGAAGAACGAAAGGGGTTTAGCGGTGCCGCCTATGCCATAGGAAATCTTTCGGCCCTTCCACCCAGCCCTATATTCCAGAATATCAAGGCAGAACATCCCACAACATCTGCTTTGGACTGGGTCCACACTCAAATAATGTGGGATTTTATGCCTTGATACTCTGGGATATAGGGGCTCTATGGAAGGGCCCCTTCTACACTGCCCTATATCCCAGGATCTGATCCCAGATTACACAATGTAACACGGCTTTTGTTCCTGGGTTGTAAAATGTCATGTCCCAATTGGTTCTGTCATATAAACATGGAAATGGCTTATTAAACTTTGTTTTTGCAGGACATCCTGCAGCACATTTCGCTAGTTTTTCAACGAAAATCTCATCCAGCCTCAACCAATTCAACATAGTTTGTGGTGGCCACAAAAACTAAGTTTCTGGAATATAACAACTACTTTCAAAGTAAGTAACGCACAATTACGGGAAATAACACTTTCCAACCAGAAACTATTTTTTCCCCCAAATATTGTTTACTGAGGCCCCCTCGAGACAGTACCATTATCCCAGGAGCTTCCTTTTTCTCTAGGTTTGTTCCCGAGTTTTAGATGTTTGTTCCCGATTGGTCTGTTCCTAACAAGGTGACAGTTGAGTGGAAAGGGAAAACTTTGTGTGCCAGAAACGTTATGTATATCTTTTCACAACAAGAGCAATCAGGAACAGACATATATAACCCAGGAACAACACTCTGTCTGAACAGATGGCCCCGCAGATTATATAACCCAAAGAATGGCACTTATACAATAATTTTTGGGTTTCTTTTCCTTAAAAACCTGAATCCTGCGGTGGCCATCTTGGGAGTCACTAAATCTCGAAACACCCGGGACCAACAGGTCTGTATATGGGCCTCTTCAGAAGTCCCGGGATTTTTGCCCCTGGTTAAAACCCGGGATTTCCTGCTGTCTGAAAGTGTTATCTGCTTATCCCAGATTATCTGGAGCCCTCATGGCGCAATGGGTTAAACCCTTGCGTAGGCAGTAAGGAGGACTGAAGACCAATAGGTCGCAGGTGCGAATCCGGGGAGAGTGCGTATGTCAGCTCCAACTCCCCATTTCAGGAACATGAGAGAAGCCTCCCACAACATCAAAACATCCTGGCGTCCCCTGGGCAACGTCCTCGCAGACGGCCAATTCTCTCACACTAGAAGCAACTTGCAGTTTCTCAAGTCGCTCCTGACACACACACAATTATCTGATAGTAGAGACTCATATAATCCAGTCCAAAGCAGATTATCTAGGATTAGATCCTGGGATATAGGGCAGTGTAGATCTAGCCTCGATTGCTTTATTTCTGCCTCCCCTTCCTTGTACAACTGTCCCTTTTCATTGCTTTCTCCCTGGAACCCAGAAGGGCTGAATGTCACCCCCTTCCCTTATTGCATATGTCTGTTCCTGATTGCTCTTGTTGTGAAAAGATACACATAAAGTTTCTGGCACACAAAGTTTTCCCCTTCTACTCAACTGTCACCTTTTTAGGAACAACCTTGCGAGGGAGGTCAGGCTGGCTCTGCAGTGTCACAATATGCACTTTGAAGAATACGGGGGTCTCCTCAACGTGACCACATCCTGACCAGAGCAGACTCTAGATGCAACCCTAAACATCTATGGATTGCATCTACCGGTTGACTTTCATGGGACAGCTCTCCTGAGGGGTCATTAACTGGTCTCTGTTTGGGACAAGGAAGAAGGTAACATTCCTCGCCCCGAGTCAATGGGCCTGGTTTGGTAGACAATCCCGCAAACTGATTCGCCTCCGACCCCAATATTCAAGGTTTGGAAACATGTTTTTGTGGGCAGCGGTCCTTCTCCCAGGGCCCTTCCATATAGCCCTATATCTCAGAATATCAAGTCCACACTCAGAGAATGTGGGATTTTCTGCCTTGATTTTCTGGGATCTATATCTTATACCCTATGGCTGCTTTCTAAACTGGACCAGGAAAGTAAAGTCCAGTTGAGGATTCGCCCCAAGACTCAATGCCTCACCGAGAAAACAGAGAGAGGATCCCATCGAGAGTTCTTCCTGGGTGAACAGCAATAGGAATACACCTTTTTGCATTAATTAAAATCTACGAGGGGTTCCTCATCTTTTCTATACAAAGTTGAATAAACATTTTCATGTTTTTTATGATAGAACCAATTAGGAAATGACATTTTACAAGCTAGGAACAAAAACCATGTTACATTGTGTAATCTGGGATCAGATCCTGGGATATAGGGCAATCTAGAAAGGAACTAAGGACCCTTCCACACAGCCCTATATCCCAGAATATCAAGGCAGAAATTCCCACATTATCTGAGAATAAAAGCTCGAGGTTTTCCATTCTGTCTCTCCAACAACAAATCCATTTAGGCACCTCTCCATACATAGAATATCCGGACCATTTTGTCTTTCCATTCCTTCTCCGTAGAGATATCTACCACACAAACTCCCTCAGACGCCTAAGGTTAATGCAACACGTCAAACCACAATTCGGATTGCCAGTGAGCATCAGTTCCTTTCAGCGGGCAAACTGAGATTGGATCTACACTGCCATACAAGGCAGTTTAGAACAACAGTATATGGTCAGTGGTAAGGTAAGGTAAGGTAAAGGTTTTCTCCTGACATTAAGACCGGTTGTGTCCGACTCTGGGGGTTGGTGCTCATCTCCATTTCTAAGCCGAAGAGCCTGCGTTGTCAGAAGACACCTTCAAGGTCATGTAGCTGGCATGACTGGATGGAGCGCCCTTACCTTCCCGTTGGAGCAGTACTCACATTTACATGTTTTCGGACTGCTAGGTTGGCAGAAGCTGGGGCTAACAGCAGGAGCTCACGCTGCTCCTCGGATTCGAACCTGCGACCTTTCGGTCAATATATACCCATAATATAGTTTGATGCAGTTAAACAGGTCATGAGCAAACTTGGGCCCTCCCTCCAGGTGTTTAGGACTTCAACTCCCACCATTCCTAAAAACCTCAAGCCCCTTTCTTTCCCCTCCTCAGCCGCTTAAGCAGAAGGAAAGGAAAAGGAAAGGGCCTGAGGCTGTTAGGAATGGTGGGAGTTGAAGTCCTAAACACCTGGAGGGAAGGCCCAAGATGGCCCATGCCTGAGTTAAAGTGTGTTCAGTGGGTCTGCGTAGTGACAATGTAATGCTTCAAACTGTACTGAATGGAGGCGTAGACTCCGCCTGAGGCATCTTGCACTAAAACCCTCTCTCACACAACGCTGATGTCGCAAGAGAGACTTTCTTGACTCAGAAGGAAGTCCTCGAGAGTGATTCCGAAATCCGGCTGGACTCGCCCAAGGGAACAAAAACTGATCACCAAACGTGGAGGCTGCGCAGGGGTGCATTTCTTCCCAAGCAAGGCTTGTTGTCAACTACGGCTTCCTAACAAATACATTCAACAAATACAAGCCTTTTGGACTGAACCCCTCGCTCCCCCCCCCCCCCGCACCATTTCAGCTGCAGTGAAGGATATTCTCACCATTCAGGGATTCTTTTCTGGACTATTAGATTGGACCATGTAGGTCCGCTTGGTTCCATATAACACATTTCTGGCTATTCTATCTACAGTGTCGTCCTCATGACGCTCTTTCCCCCGTCCTTAATGAAGGCCTAACTCCACTGTTCCTCCTTCTTGGGCTCCTCCCTCACAAATACACCTTTTCTACTCCTACCTCCTTCAGGGTTTTATCATTTTATGATAGTCGGGAATGTAGTTAAGCCTAAAGGCCGTTCAACACTGCCATATAAGACAGATAATCGAAGCAGATAATCCACATTATGGATTATATAAATCTGCACTGACATATAACCCAGTACACATCGGATAATCTGAGGGCCCTTCCACACAGCCCTATATCGCAGGATATCAAGGCAGAAAATCCCACAATGTCTGCTTTGAACTGAGTTATCTGAGTCCACACTCAGATCGTGTGGGATTTTCTGCCTTGATATTCTGGGATAAAGGGCTGTGTGGAAGAGCCCTGAATTTTATATGGGCCTTATACTTTCGAAAAGCCCAGATCCACTTCAATGTTATCCTCTTGGGCCCTAAAATCCGGACACATTTGGAAACGTCTAGGGCCCCTTCCACGCATCAGAATAAAATCCCACATTACCTGCTTTGAACTGGAATATATGGCAATGTGGACTCAGGTAACCCAGTTCAAATCGGATTTTCTGCCTCGATATTCTGAGTTGTATGGCTCTGTGGAAGGACCATAGGGGCCCTTCTATACTGCAATATAATTCCAGATTATCCACATGGACAATCCGGATTATCTTCTTTGCTGGATTATATGAATCTATACTGCCATATAATCTAGTTCAAAGCAGATAATCTGGATTTAATATAGCAGCGTAGAAAGAGCCTAAGACCGGAGCTACATTACTCTATATCCCAGGATCCGATTCCAAATTATCTAGTAGTATGGACTCCTATAATCCGGTTCAAAGCAGATAATGTGGATTATCTACTTAGATAATCTGGATTGTATATGGCAGTGTAGAACGGGCCTGAGGAAGTTGGTTTATATCCCTGCTTTAAAAAAACAGGAAAACTGTCTTCACCTGCCTTTCCCCCCCTTTATCCACCCTTCCCCTTTTTAATTTGGAAGCCTTCCCTTAGAAATCAGTGGGGGGACCATGCTTAGGGCCAGGGGGACCTGGTCATTCCGTGAAAACAACCCCCCAAGCATTGCAGCCAAATCAGATATTTTTATTTGAAAATACAGAGAGATAGAATCATAGAATCATAGAATTGGAAGAGTCCTCATGGGCCACCCAGCCAGTCCAACCCTCTGCCAAGAAGCAGGAAAATTGCATTTAAAGCACCCTTATGGGTGAGTTTACTCCGCGAGCGCGAAGAAATACATCCTCACAAACCCCTGGGAAGACTTGTCTCTACACCTGCCATTTCCCTGGCGAACTTGGATTATTCACACTCTCAGCCTCAGAAGAACAGCCAACCTCTTCTGAACGAACCTTGCCAAGAAAACGTAGGGTAGGAACCCCATAAATCAGAAATTACTTGAAGGCACACAGCAACAAGAAGGACGGCCTAGTCGTGACATCTAAAGTGACTGCGCGCTTTCTCCATATCCCGGAAATGTCCACACTTCATAATTTCAGCAAGTTCCTATCCGACTTTAAATTTTCTTCTGTATTCCAGGGGAGTGTGCAGGGAGTCCCCGAGTTACAAGCAGAGTTACGAACCAAATGAGAGCAATCTACCCCTTGGAAGGGGAAGAGTTATCCAGTGGAAAAGGTATCTTCATTGAAGCTTTCTCACCAATCCCTGTTTCCACAATAAGCCATAACTTGAGAACTGCCTGTATTAAACAGTTCTAAGTACCTCACCAAACTACAAATCCCAGGATGGAATGCTAGTAGTTAAAGTGGTACCTGAATACTGTAACTGTAAATAAATATACCAGATCCCGAAAGAAAAAGCTACCCCAAGGACGAATCCCAACAGAGTTGGCTAGCTGTTTTCTCCCTCTGGGAAGACCCTTCAATGGAAAACTTTCTCTGGAGTCCACAAACAAGAGGGAAAGCACTTCCCCGTAAATACAGTTGGGGCTTTTTTTGTGTGTCACGAGTGACTTGAGAAACTGCAAGTCTCTTCTGGTGCGAGAGAATTGGACGTTGCCCTGGGGACGCCCGAGATCGTGTGGGATGCTTCTCTCATGTCCCGCGTGGGACGCTGGAGCTGACAGACAGTAGCTCACCGCCGACCTTTGACCTTTCATCAGCAGTCCTGCCGGAACAAGGGTTTAACCCATTGCGCCATGGAGGCTGGTAAATCCATAGTCCGGTTCAAAGTAGGATAACGTGGGGTTTTATTTAGCTGTGTGGAAGGGCCCTTAATTTTCGCTGACCGAATTAAGGCGATAGAATTACGCCATGGCTCAATGTGATGGAGCCATAGACGTAGCAGTTTGACCAGGCCTTTAGCCTTCCTTGCCTCGTCCAATTACAACTCGCATGGTTCCATAATATTGAGCCAAGGCAGTTAAAGTGGTGTCAAACCGCATTAATTCTACACTTGAGATGCACCACTGGTGAAGACAGCCTGACTGCATTGAAAGGATCCGTCTGAAGTTTGATTTAGCGGCATGTTTATTCTTTGGAACCAAACATATTTGGAGAAGTTGGGCACTTATTGTTATGAATCGGAAATTCAAGGCGGCTTTAATTGGAAACCTGTACCGTTTATTAAACGGTTTGAAAACAGATCTAACCAAAGGGCAGAAGCTCAGCCAGACTGCTTCTTTCCGTTCAGAGATGGCGACGGTGTTCGCAGTTTGAGGCTCTTCAGACTATTTCTTCTGAGATCACTAGATAATTCTGAAGTGTTGTGGGAAAATCCTATAGGCGTCCACTCCACCGGGATTGGTGCGATTTTCTCCTAAGTAAATCATGAGGTCGCCATATACTGACAGGCGACTCAGGGTCCTTCCACACAGCCAGATATCCCAGAATTCAAGGCAGAAAATCCCACATTATCCCTGAGTGTGGACTCAAATAACGCAGTTCAAAGCAGATAATGTGAGATTTTCTGCCTTGATATCCTGGGATATAGAGCTGTGTGGAAGGGCCCTCAGGGAGCTGTAGTTGTACAAGCTTTCTCTGCTTCACCAAACTACAAGTCATTGATTTATCCTACTTGTACAAGGACTGCAAATAACTTTTTCCTGACTTATTATCCTTAAACAGATGGCTTGCTCAGAGGGAAATTGTGATCGCATTTCCTTCTACGAACCTGCACGATCTCTTCGATCCTCCAGGGAGGCCTTCCTCTCGATCCCATCTCTATCACAAGCTCACAAGCCCGGCTTGTGGGGATGAGGCAGAGGGCCTGCTCTGTGGTGGCCCCTCGGCTTTGGACCTCGCTTCCCAGTGAGATTTGGAAAGCTCCTACCCTGGCAGACTTTAAGAAAAAAGGGTTGGCTCTTCCGCCGTGCCTTTGACCAGCAAATCCTCACACCCTATCCCTCATAGTATAGATCTGTCCTCTTAATGCACTTTCTCTCTTTCCTTAGTGAAGAGTAACCGCATTGCTTATCCTTTCTGAGTCTCCCCTCAGATACATTACTCTAGTTATCCATCTCACCCAGGGATTTATCATTTTATCCTTTGCATTGGGACCGCCCACTGTATTTTAATTGCTTTACCATTTTATTTTCCGTTTGTTTTATTATTAATTTTGTTTTGTTTGCATTTTACTTTGATGTTATTATTTGCTTGTTTATATTTTACTTTGCTTTATTGTAATTCTTGGGCTTGGCCTCATGTTAGCCGCCCTGAGTCCCCTTGGGGCGATGGTGGCAGGATGATGATGATGATGATTATTTGAAACACAACAAGATGAGTCCACAGCAGACAAGATCACTCTGTTGGCTGTTGTATTGGATCACACGTCGGACACTTCCCAAGTGTCTAGGACTGTGTGATGTATCGGCGAATAATGTGTGCAGATCCCAGTAAGGTGGCCTTCTGCAGCTGACAGATAGTAATTTTGTCAGCTCCGGTTGTGTTGAAGTGGCAGGCCAAGGTCTTTAGGAACTGCACCCAGTGTGCCGATCACCACTGGGACCACCTTGGCTTGTTGTTGTTGTTGTTGTTGTTGTTATTAAGCGTGAGTGGGCTTGATGGCACCCAAATGTTATTATCTCTGGGAGGGTCTACACCAGGCATTGGCAAATTTCGGCCCCCCAAGTGTTTTGGACTCCCCATTCCTAACAGCCTCAGGCCCTTTCCTTTCGGCTTAAGCGGCTGAGGGTGAAAAGGAAAGGGTCCGAGGCTGTTAGGAATGGTGGGAGTTTGGAGACCAAAACACCTGGAGGGTCGAAGTTTGCCCATGCCTGGTGTAGACCCACCCTGCAACAACCAACCCTACTATCCAAATTCCCAGGACCCCACAGCACTGAGCAGTGAAAGCGGCGTGAAAGGGGGCCAGTGCTGGAGTGTGACCCCGTCCCTTACCTTTCTTGCCGGCTTTGGGCTCCGCGGCGGCGTCCATGTCGGCGTAGCTCTTGCTGAAGAAACTCCCGGGGAAGGAGGAGGCGGCGGCGGCGGCGCTCTTGGCGGCCTCGGGCAGCTCCGTTAGCGGCGGGGCCTCCTCTTCGGCCGCGAAAGCCTCCTGCTTGAAGGCGGCCAGCATACAGGACGAAGCCGAGCCCAAGGCAGCCGGCAGCTCCAGCGAAGCCAAGCCCACGCAACCCGGCGGCTGCTGCTGCTGCTCCAGGCTCAGGATATCCTTGACCGAGAAGGGCGTCGAAGTGGCGGCGGAGACAGCGCTGGGGAACATGGTGAAGAGGCGGAGAAGGAGGGCGAGGGCGCCGGGCCTCTGGGAGCGGGAGGCTCCGGGCCAGCGCTTCCTCGAGGGCGCCGAGCCCGAAGAAAACCCTCCTTGGGCCTCGTCACGCGGAGGCAGCCAGGGAGGCGGGGCTACGGGGAAGAGGGGCGGGGCCAAGAGGGAGCATTTCAGGGAAGGAGCTTTGGGACCTGAAGGGATGACGTCAGTACCTTCGGAGACTCAAGGGGCGGAGCTAAGTGCTTTCGGGGAATGAGAGGCGTAAAGGGGGCGGGGCCAAAGGACCAGGGGGCGGTATTAGGCTATCTGAGTCACTGAGGGGGCGTGGCCCAAATGGAAGGGGCGGGGCTAAGGCTTTTCAGGCGGCTCTTTTGGGGCCTGAGTGAGAGGGGCCCGCTCTCGGGGAATATGGTGGTGACAGGGCGGGGTCAGGCGCTTGGAGACTCTGGGGGGGCGGGGCCAAAGGAAGGAGGGGTCGGTATATTAGGCACTTTCAGAGACCCAGAGGGCGGGGCCACGATGGATCGAGGGCGGGGTTTCTTCGAGGTCGCCGCGCTCCAGGCCCGCCTAATATAGTAACGGTGCCGGGAAGGAGCGGAGGGAGGTTCCAAGGCTCCTGCGGCCAAAATCTGCGCCCGGGGGTCATCGATCACGCAGTCAGGTGGGATAAACACTTCCTTGGGAAGAGAAGGAAGGTCGACGAGAAGAAGGGCAAGGGATCTCGGCCCACGAAGTATTCTGGTTTGTTTAGAGCTGGATCGACACCCCTAAATATTGGAGTTTGGAACTGCTTTAAATGGTCAGTGCAGACCCATATAATGCAGTTTGAACTGCAATGAACTGCGTTATGTGGGTGTGACCATATTACGTAGTACCAAACTACATTATTTGGCATGGTACAACCACCCTGTGGCAGTCTAGAGAGAATAGGATTTGAATCTCCGTTCAGCCACTGAAACCCACTGCATGTCCTTGGGGAAGTCACACACTCTCAGCCCCAGAGGAAGGCCGTGGCAAGACTCCTCTGCAGAAATCTTGCCAAGGCAATTCGAGACAAGGTCGCCATAAATCAGAAATGGCTTGAAGGGAGATAGCAAGAACGACAAGTAGAAGAGACCCACGGAATCAATGGAATATTTGCCGGCATATGGACTCTTCATGAGTTCTGTGGGTCTACTCTGGTTGGAATTAAGGCCAGATTATCAAAGCAGGTAATCCACATTATCTAATTTGGTGCAGTGGGTTAAAGCGCTGAGCTGCTGAACTTGCTGACTGAAAGGTTGCAGGTTCGAATCTGGGGAGCGGGATGAGCTTCCGTTGTTAGCCCCAGCTTCTTCCAACCTATTGATCTACTTCCAAAGGAAATAGATCAATAGGTACAGCTCTGTCGGGAAGGTAACGACGCTCCATGCAGTCATGCTGGACACATGACCTTGGAAGTGTCTATGTACAACGCCTCTTCGGTTTAGAAATGGAGATGAGCACCAACCCCCAGAGTCGGGCACGACTGGACTTAATGTCAGGGGAAAATCTTTACCTTACCTTTACCTATATGAGCAGACACTGCCATAGAATCCAGTTCAAAGTAGATCATCGTGGTTTATATGGCAGTGTAGAAGGGGCCTAGGCGCCCTTCCATGCTGCCCTTTATCCCAGGATCTGATCCCAGATTATCTGTTTATCCCAGGTTATCTGGCAATGGGGACTCATAAATTCTAGTTTAAAGCAGATAATCTGGAATGAGATCCTGGGTTAAAGGGCAGCGTGGAAGGGCCCTAAGTGGCTTTCTGCTACTTCAGGGCTTTTATTGAGGGGAACTTGTGGCAAAGAGGAATCATTGGGATAATAATGCGAGGAGAAGCGGAGCATCCTTGGGCCCTTCCACACAGCCATATAACTCGTAATACCGAGGCAGAAAATCCCACAATATCTGCTTTGAACTGGGTTATCTGAGTCCACACTGCCATATAGTTCAAAGCAAAGAATGTGGGATTGTATTCATTTGTGTGGAAGGGGCCCCTGGGAGGTCAATTTCACCAGGTCTTTAGCCTTCTCTGGCAAAGAGGGTTGTTGGTGCCTCACCCAACTATAAATGCTATAAATTACATCGCATTGAGCCATGGCAGTTAAAGTGGTTTCAAAGGGCAATAACTCCACAGGGCAGATGCACTCCGAGTCTCATTTCTTTTCAAGGAGACCTCGTGATTCTGGCCCATGGATTGAAAGCCAACCGAAGGCGCTGAGATCAGGAAGGCTTCTTCCGTCTCTCTCGGATGGGGAAGCAGGCCCCTTGAAGATCAGGAGTCATTCCAGCCCCACAACAATCCATCAGTCCCGGATGACAATGCCATCAAAGGACACGGAAGTCAGAAATAATAACAAACACACTTCTGTGGGAGACCTTTTACTCTGACAAGTTTGAATTCAGTCTGGTACAAGCCTTTCTGGTCACTCTTCAAGCCAAGGCGTATTTTGCCAATAGAAATTCGCCTGGCCATCCAAGAACATGGAACTTGGGTCCCGCGTCCCACATACGGCTTTGGGCCGCTCCAAAGCATGCCTCCTCACCTTTACGAGCCTATCTTCCACCAGCTGACATTCCCTTTAGTGAGTTTTCCCGACCGAGCTCTGCTGAGAAGATTCGCTCAAGGGCAACAAGCGCCACTGGATCTTTCCGCCTTTCTTCGCCCTTAACTGTAGCTCTAAAAATCCGGATTTGGGGAACGGGTGGTTGGGGCGAGACTGGATGTTTTTTCTAGGCGAGAGTGTGAAGCTGGATCTGCGCTGCCCTGTAATGCAGTCTGAACAGTATAGACCCGTATAATGCAGCTCCATATGGCCTCACCCCTCCGCTTGGAATGCCCTCATCACAAGGCAGATCCTGCAATGGGGCAACTGAACAGACTTAGGGCCCTTCCACACAGCCCTATATCCCAGAATATCAAGACAGAAAGTCCTACAATATCTGCTTTGAACTAGGTTATCGAGTCCACGTTCAGATAACGCAGCATTTCCTGCCTTGATATTCCGGGATATAGGGCTATGTGGAAGGGCCCTTTGAAGCAGTGGGCAGATCAAAAAACAACCCGGCAAAATGGCACGACCTAGGAGAATCCTCCATCTTGTGCGATTGTGGAGCAGAACAATATGCTTGTCCACAATGCCTGCCTCGTGAACACGGGGAAATTGTTTAAAACTACAGACAATGTGGTCGCTGTTGCCCGTTTCTGGTTTTTAAAAAACCCCGCTTGTGTTCCCTCTATTTTATCTGTTTTATATTTATTTATGCAATGCTTTTGACACGAAATAAATAAAAGCTTGATGATGATTTATTTATTTCGTATCAAAAGCATTGCATAAATTAGTATAAAACTGATAAAAACAGAAGGTGTTCAGGCGGCTAAATATCTTTTGACCAAAAACGGGCAACAGCAACAGCATTGTCTGTAGCCTCCAACAATTCCTCCTCTGTACATGAGGCAGGGCACAATGGACAAGCATACTTTGAGTGACTGTGGAGCAGAACAGACAACTCTGCATCTGTATGATGATGATGATGATGATGATGATGATGATGATGATGATAATAATAATATAAAACTTTATTTATATTCCGCCCTATCTCCACAGAGGGACTCAGGGCGGATTCCAAACACAACAACAACACACCTACAGACAAAAAGGAGAACGGTTTAAAGAAATAGGATTTTAAGGAGTTTTTGACCCCATCTACACTGCCTATAATGCAGCTTAACCGCATTATGTGACAGTGTAGGCACATACAATCCAGTTAAAATGCATTCTGAAACTGCGTTATAGGGCAGTGTAAATGGGGCCTCAGGGAAACGTGGAGAAGACCTGAAACACCCAGAAGGTGGTGATGATGAAGTCTCATGACAAGATAATGACAATTCTGTAATTATGATTTTTAATTATAAATTACAGTGATTATTAGTGGTATATTTTTTTCGTGTATCATCAATTCAATATGTTGTCTGATTATTTAGACCAAGACCTTGCAAAGAACTCTCCCCTCGGTTTTCATTTCGGGCGGTTTATGGACATCGCCTCCTGTCTATTTTGGAAAACAACAACAGAAAGAATAGAACCCCCTTCTTTCGTAAACACACCGTTTCTCTCTGCCTTATGGGCCTCAAATATAGCCTTGCCTTCTCCTCCTGGTTGGAGGCGGGGAGAGGCCCGGCTTGCCTGCAGAGCGCCCTTCGTGCTGGCGAGCAGGAATCCTTGGGAGCTTATCGGAGACTAATTGCTTCCATTAGGCTTAGGGCTTCGGAGGGTCCCCTAATGGCATCGTCTTTTACACACAACACACACACACACACCGCTTTTCTCTCTCTTTGATTGAATAGTGCTAGTGGCAGCCGACCGACCCTTTCGCCAGCCCTTTCTGGCCGATGCCGACCCCCTTGCTGCTCTGCTGGACTGGAGGTCGCCCCATGGCACGAGCCCCCTTTTTTTTCCTTTCCCTCGAAGCATGGAATTCGCTTTATCTCTCAGGGAAATAATGGAAGCGGCCACATCCGATTCAATTAAAATTCTTGCCCTGAGAGAGGTTTTTTTGGGGGGAGAACTGGCGTATCGGCTCCCAAGTTTGCGATGACAGTTTGCCAGATTAGAGTGTACAGAGAGGCTCAAAATATCTGTTTAAATGGTTGGGAGAAAATAGAAGGGAGCTCGGGGAGGCAGGGAAGGGGCTCTGGGACGGGCCTGGCCACCTTCAGCCACAATGTCAATTCTCGTTGCCCAAGAAATGCTATTAAAACCTCACACCTCTGAGGATGCCTGCCACAGATGCAGGCGAAACGTCAGGAGAGAATACTTCTAGAACATGGTCATATAGCCCGAGAAACCTACAACAACCCAGCTATTAAAACGGTTGAAGAGAGATGTTAAAATAGAGCATCAAAACATAACAACATTAAGTTTATCAATTGAGTCTGGAAACGTTGCTTCGCCCCACACTTTGCAGGCTG